TACATGCAAACTCCGCTAGTGAATCTACAGTCGACCAAATAAGCAATTCACACACCATTTCCGCAAAGTTAATTTCTTCAAATTCTCTGGAAAATAAGTATAGAGCATAGGTGAACAATAATTCTAGTTCGAAAAAAGTTCAATAAAATATTTAAATATGTGACAATTGATTAGTGTACAGATCCTTTTTCATAGCCATACAGAAGTATACCAGGGTAAGAAAAATCTTCAGAAGACATTCTGCTATGTTTCGAGTTGCAGAATCTGTCGGAAAACGTTATTGTATGTTATTGACTCAACATTTCTTTCTTTTAAAGGTGTGTGATGAAGAGATTTTGCTTGATCCGCTGCTGTTCGATCTTCCAAGTAGTTCATTCTTACCTGATTTTCGGGGCACTCCTTTTCTCCTCCAATGTAAAGATGTTGAAGTTTTGCCTATCATCTCACTCAGCACATGTTGGCAGAGCTGCACCGCCTTCTTACGACAGTCTAACTATTTGAACGAATGATTAAAATTAAGCAAACATTCTTTTGGTGCTAAATATACCCACATAAGAAGTCTAGCTATGACAAGTATTTAAAGAGTTCGTTGATTCTCTACATACCTTTCTTCACCGATATTTTCCTGCACGTATCAGCAGGAGTTCCGAGACCACAGCCATAGTAATCGGTGCGAATATCTGACCCAAGTTCATCATGGTTTTATGACCCTTTCTTATTCTATATACTTGAGATAAGCACTTTCACTCCTACGACTACTCAATGTCAGCGAATCGCTTGGCTAAGTTGATTAGTCTGCTGAGCATTAGTCTACAATATGTGAATTTAAATATAGACAAAGTCGAGGATACTAGTTGAATCGCCTTGCTTTGGGAGGTAGCCCAACTTTAATTATATCCTAAATTTATCAATTAAGCTTAACTTGTTTACTCTTCTTCCTAGCATCCAGGGTGTTGCCCAGCCTACAGATTTCAACAGCTTCTTTAATTGTGATTATGCAACGAACACAGCTTAATCAGCAAATCCATGAGTCTTAGTTCAATCCATTTCGTAGATGGTTTTCAGGTTTCGCTCTGCAATATTTGATGCCTAGAACCAATAGTCTCCATTTTTGTATTCGTCGGTCTGATGCTGTCTGTTATGTGGTAGGACAATCGCATGCTCAACACATTTCAAGAGAACCGACAGAGGGTATTTCGAGGATTGCATCAACAAGACAGTATGGAAAGACCAAACGACGGCGGACCGAAGAGGATTTGCCGCTATCTTCTGGTGAGATCAACCTACACTTTCAAACGATTCAAAATTTCGGCAAACACTATATTGTAAAGACTTTCATTTCGAATGAAAATGTATGATGAAGAGATTCTTAGGCCGATCTCGTCAGAAGACGACGGCTGATTTCGGTCGTTATGATGCCGTTTAATAAAAAGGTGTGGTTAGGGGGACATTCATTTCGGATGAAAGTGCATGAAGAAGCGATTCGTTGGTCGATCTCGCCAGATGAGGACGGATGCATCTCATTGTACTGTAGCCGTTTGGCTTTTATACAATACTCATGTTGACGCAGTCCACGAGACTTCCTTCCTCGTTTTGGGTGAAAACGTGCTGACCTTTTGTCCATCATATGATGGACATCATCAGAGCTGGTGTCATTCTTGTAAAACTCTCTTGTTAACATTAAAACAAGAACACTATCAGGCTCAATCGAACCAAAAAATTAAAAATTAAAAACCTAGATAGATCGATATAGAATGGTTTGGTCAATTTTCTTTCATACTGGTCCTGCTATTTTTGCTCGATTGTATGAGTATTTGTATTTCTGT